AACTGAAGTTCTCAAGAAATACCACACTGTATAGTACCTCCATACTTTATGGAATGTTCTTCTTCCTGTCTGATGGACTAATACCTAGACAGGATTCAATATTCAGCTGAAACACTGCCATCTCCACAAAGAGCTTGATCCCTGCATTCTGAGTTTGGAGCCCTCCCTCATATGCCTCCTTGCATACCTCTATCATCAATTATTTATATATGTTTATATTCATATATACATACACCATGCTGTGTCATCAGAGTTATTTTTCTTATCTAGCTCCCCCACTAGACGTTGAGCTCTTTAAGTCCACAGTCCCTCCTCTGACATAGCGTACAGTCTCTTGACAAAGACAGATATGGCAGGTGTACAAGGTGTTCAAGAGAATATAGAAGAAGGAATTTCTCTGCGCAGAGGTGGGGGTAGGAAAAATGTCAGGAAAGGCTTGCAAGAGGAAATATGAGTTGAATGTGAAAGGATGAGCAGGAATCCACCGTGCAGGCGGGTGAAGGGCCTTTTATTCAGAATGAGCAAAGAGGCATGAAGCAGCATAGGGCACACAAACGCAATGGCAGTCTTCTGTGACTGGCCCCGCCGCAAGCAACAGCCCTGCAGAGATAAGGCAGTTGTCAGCCTGAAGAGCCTCATTCTCAGAGAATCAGGATCCTTCCCATAACTGCAAACAACCAATGGATTGTGAGCAGCGGGTGACACAATCAGATTACACTCTGCGTGTTTTCAAGCATGTTAATTGATTTTTTAGAGCCTTAATCAAGAGTTAAGATCTACGATATGGAATAAGGCCATAAGACAAATTAAATATATTCATTTTCCCAATAAACTGCCTTTTGAAAAGCACAATCAGCTTCTTAGATTACACCTTCATCTTTTGCATCCCTTTTATACAGAATTGTGTGGTTCTTCCCCCTTTGAAAGTGTACCGAACTGGACCGGGCATTGCGAAAGCTACTGCATTGGATATAAAGATGCTAAGACAGTCCCCAGGGTCATGGGACATCCAGTCAAGCAGACAAGTGACACAGCCCCATGAATAACCACACCGCAGAGCAGTGGGAGTCGGGCTCCATGCGAGTGTTAGAGCTAAACGCAGAGACAGGAGGAGCGACTTCCCCGGCTGAAGTCAGGAAGGCAGACAGGAGAAGGTGGCCTTTGAAACAGGACTTGTGTCAGGGTCGATTTTCAGTATGTTCAGTTAAGAAAGAATACAAACTTCAAAAATTAAAGTGTGAGCCCTGGCCAGTGTGGCTCAGTTGGTTGGAGCTTTGTCCCATGCACCGGAAGGTCACAGGTTCAATTCCCAGTCAGGGCACATGCCTGGGTTTTGAGTTCAATCTCGGTAGGGATGCCTGTGGGAGGCAGCCGATGCATGTTTCTCTCTCATAGTGATGTTTCTCTATGCCTGCCTCTCTCTCTCTCTCAAAAAAAAAAAAAAAAAAATTTTTTTAAATATGGTCATTCATTTCTAAAAATTACTCACTTTTAGTTGAATACTTTCTTAGAATTAGCAATGATGGGGATGTAAAACAGAAAAAGCCAACAAAAGATAGAGAAAAGGTAAAGGGTGATTTTTTTTTTTTCAGCCCTCATATAAAGAAGTGTTGAATTTATTCATTTCTTTTGACCGGAGGCCAAAATAGTGGACTGGAAACAATTTTTTTCCAATAAACCAAAGCTATTAGATAACATTTCAGGCAAAATGTAACACAGCATTGTAGCTCTCCCAAATTCTTCCTACACTGTTTCAAGTCCATCCTCTGCGGAGGCAGCTGTGATGATGAAGGCTGACGGGAGTGACTGAGGGGAAGGGAGCTTCCAGTAGGACAGTGGTGGACAGATCATCGAATCACAGCCTGTGCCCTGCTCAGACCCCAGCCCTGAGCTCCAGACCCCAGCACCCAACCACATATCAACCTCTCGATTCAGTCTCAGAGCCCTTCCAACACACTGCGTCCAACACTGACGTCACCTCCGTATCCCCCAGCTCACCCAGGAACACGCTGGAAACATAGACATCATCCTTGATCCCACCTTCTTCGCTCCTCACAACCCACCCCTACCACCAGCCACCATTTTACTGACTGTGAACTAAGAGGAGCCCATTACGGAGCTAAATGCTTTGTATTTTCCCATGTGATCTTCATAAAAACCCTATGAGATAGGCCTCTTATCTACATTTTACCAAAAAAGAAGTTATTACTTAGAAAGGTTAAGTTTCTCAAAAACACAGTTCACGGTAGCAGCCGGGTCTCTGATTATGAAGCCCACACACCCACCACTGCCTGGTGCGTGTCTCTCCAGCCTTTCTCTATGGTGTCTTCTCATCCTCTTCCTTCTCTCTGTTCCCACCACGACTGCTTAAGATAACACTTAATTTCTCCCCAGGTTCACTGTAACAACCTCTAGCCCTGAGCCTCAGATGGCTCTTCTCTAAAATGTCACTCAAGAACACATCAGAAATAGGCCCCAAAACCTCAGATGCCTATAGGTCCCAGGCATCTGCCCTGGAGAAGTGAGCCACACGGTCAAATAAAGTACATGCTCTTTCCCAAGGGGGCAGCTGCTAAGCGACCAACGCCAGCCCAACTCCTTGCTGCAATGCAGAGCTACCGATTCTTCAAAAAGCCTGATATCCACCCAGGCAAGTATTTAAAAAAAAAAAAAAAAAAGTTAAAACACTCTGTGAGCGGCCCTGGCCAGTTTGGCTCAGCGGTTGGAGCATTGGCCTGAGGACCAGAGAGTCCTGGGTTTGGTTTCCGCTAGGGGCATGTACCAAAAAGAAAAGTAAAAAAAAATAAAATAAAACCACTCTGTGAGTGAAACCAAATCCACTTATATGCCAGATCTGACCCATTAGTACCAGCTTATAACCTCTGAAATATAAATTTAATTATGTAATTAATGTCCCTGCTTCAAATCTTGACAATGCTCTTCTACAACTTAGGGATAAAGGCTAGTCTACTTAAGATGACATCAAAGGCCTTCCCCGAGTCTGCCCATCCCTACTTCCCCCACAGCATCTCATCAGGTGCCCTTCAAACACACACTCCAATGCTGGGTTAGAGCTCTTGCATTTCCTGGTATGTACTCCTCACTCTGGCCTCTAAGTATTAATGCATTTTTCAGTCTGGCCAGCAAGCCCTTCACTTGACTCATCCCTCAGGATTCAGCTGGGCCACCAGTCTCTCACTCCTGGTCTGGGACGCCCCCGAGATATACTCTTGCAGTATCCTATCTCAAAACACGTCTGTATGAAAACACACCTCTCCTCGGTGTTGTTCTTATCTGTGGCCTTCAACGCTGACCAGAAATGGCATGAATGCCCACAGCTTCACCTTACTGATGTGCTATCTGCAGGGGTTGGCCTGGGATCGGGCAGGTAATAGCACTCTATACATGTCTGTTGAATGAATAAAACAACTGAACACCACTGCGTGTATGAAATCTTCCTTGTTCCTCTCCAGTTGGAAGTGATTCTTCCTCTGAACACCCTTAACCCTTTATCCCTAACTCTTTCCTACTTTAGAACACTGGACGGAATGAGACCACCATACCAAATCAGCTCCTTGCGAGCAAGAGTTTGCATCTCTCCCAGCACCAGCCTTAACTCCTTGCCTCTAGTAAGCTCTCAAATGTCTGTCAAATCAATCACAGTAACTCTACAATTCAATTCCAGGGCCTCCAGTTCCTCTTCCTTTGGTTCGGTAACCAATACCGTACTGCACTCTGAGGTTTGCAAATGGAGATCAGAGAAGTGGGAAAGGAATGGTCCAGATGCACAGACGAAAGTTTTCATTTTAATTTGAGAAGTTTTCTACTTCCAATTGGTTATTTTCAAAAGAAGGGCAGGGTAATCAACATGTATTGAGAAACATGCGATACTGTGGGCACTGTGGCAGACCCTAGCAAACGCCGTTCCGAGTCCAGTGTTTTCTCCAAATGACCACATGCTAACAGAAGCATTTATCAAGGACTGTTCCGCGCGAGGCACTCACAGCTACCGATACTCTTGCAACGTAGGTTTAAAGAGTAGGAAACTGTGGCTCTAAAAGTTAAATAAAGTATCTAGTATCTCACGGTTGGTAAGTGGTTGGTGACAGGAACGGGTCCTGTGCCCAGATCTATGGGTGACAAAGCCCACATTCTACTCTCTCCTTGGCACTGTGTCCCTCACTGAGCCGTAGGTCTGCCAGTGCATTTGGACACTGTTAGTAATTATAAGATACAGACACTGATTTTTTTACATCTCCCTGAAGAACTCCTGTAACCAAATCCCTTAACTTTTATTTCTAGAACTACTAAATTTGTACCCAAATGTTATTAAAATCCTCTCTTTCATCTATCAGGTTAAAGTATGTTTTCTTCTTGGCACCAATTTCATTAAACAGAATCTCACAAATTTCACCAAAATTGTATACTATGTGTCATTAGGATGATTTGTTAAGTGATATTATTCACTTCCAAAAATACTTAAAACAGGAACCCATCAAAAAAATAGCATGAATACTCTTAGGTGCTATTATAAAATATTTTATCTTTTATGCAAAAATATATATATTTCTTACCTGAATTTTTCCATGAAGAATTAATAGGAATACAATTCCCTCAGGTTAATGATAGGCTGGTGTTAGTAATTTCATTTGGTGAACTTTGTTTTTTTTTTTATATATTTGCTTCTTTAAGTGTTAAAAATATAAACTGTCCTTTAGGTTAGAATGGAGGTCAATTTATTAGATTCATAAAACAAGAGAAAGAAATTACAAACTGAAAGGAAAAAGTTTAATGTAATAACTGAAATAAAATTAATTTAGTATTAATTATGAACAGAATAAGCACATCTATAAAGAATATAGTTTGCCCCCACTAAAAAGCAACTCGAAAGACCACAACTAATGTTAAGTTTTATTAAGTTCATGAAGTTATTATTTAGAAGTTATGCCTTTCAAGACATATATTAGCCAAAATTATTTCAAGAAACATGTTCATCTAACCTTTGAGCTGGCACCTTATCCTGGCTATTCTCTGCCTTAAGACGTAGAAAGCTGCAAAACAAATGTCCAAAAAAAGAAATTCCAGATCTTTTCTCTGTAAGGAGGCGGGACTTGGGTATTTATCAACTTGTTACATTCCCGGAGACTTACACATATTCAACTTTCAGTGCTTTTCTGAAACAAAAAAAAAAAATCTAGGACATGTTTAAAATAGTAATATTTTAGTCACCATTTTGTCATCAGAAAACATTTCGTAACAAAAAATATTAACCAATAATTGAAGTTGTGCTATTCTTTCATCGTCCAAATTCTAAATTAAAATATTTCAGACCTTCTGTGACACTGTACCTTCCAATCCAATTTTTCATTTTCAGAGTATTAATTTTTGGTTCCAAGAGACAGTATCCTTTTATTTAAATGAGTGTTGGACAGAGTATCTGAAAAAAATTAAAATCTTTGATCAATGAGTAACCAGGGCTGGTAGTTTTTAAATCGATATATGTTTACTTACCTGTTTCTTATATACTGTGTGTTCCCTTTTCTCTTCAACTTTGGGGAAGAAATATTAAGTTTTTTTCCTTTCCTTCCACAGCATTTCCTTCTTGCATGGCTGCTCTGGTTGTCCATAGCAACAAGAATTACCCTGAAAGCTCAGCCATTTCACTTGAAGATACATAAATAACCCAGTTCAATGAAAGCAAATGGAAGAAACTTGAAACACAACTAATAATGGTCAGGGTTCAACCCACCTAAAGAGCCTAGAAATAAGGGAAGAGATGATTTTATTACCTCCCTTTTGGATTAACATCTTCTCTCTTTAAAGCATAAAATACTCTATTTAACTTTCGATTTCTGTGTCTATTTGTAGAATTTAAAATTAGGTGAATGGAGCCCTCTTTTGGGTCCTAGCAGAAGAAAATGTTCTAAGTCCAATTTGATTCAAATAAAGTAGTAATTTAATTATTGGTCAAGAAATGATTGCTCTATATTTTTAAAAGTACACATTCCATTTACTTATTAAGAGGTTTTTTTTTTTTTCATGTAGTTTAAGTTTATAAGAAACTAGTGTGGATTTTTTGTTTTTGTTTTTTACTGTTGTTGACTTCAAAATAATTCACCATACCTTGATGTTGATACATTTCTTAAACTAGAATAATGAAATATATCAGGTACAATCTAAGCAAAAAGCTGAAAATAAATCAAAGCATAAACTAAAAATTAGATTTCAGATCACATGTTAAGAAAAACTGTTTCTAGTTATATATGAGAAGGGAAAAGTATAAAAGGATACCGTTTCTTTAATACTCTTTAATTGCCAATTTTGAATAATCTAATTTATCAAGAAAAATATATTAAATGATTTTAAACAGAGGCTAAGTAGTTCAATAAAGAATAGCAAACATCATTATTTTCTAACTAGTTATATTAGTACCAAGCAGACAAACAGTTCTGTATAGTTTATTTTCACTTTATCATATCTTTAAGTGAGGTCACATTTCTCCTACTTAATAAATCAACCTTGACACTCATAGATTTAGTAAATTTTACGATATTGATTTGTATATCCATTAATAAGACTTTTAGCATAAAATTTTAGCCAATGTTCCATGTTTTAACATTTGCATTTTTAAACTATACAAAACTGCATTTTAAATCAAAACAATGTCAAACCTGGAATAGATCATTTCCAGGAAGTTTCTGGGGTCTATTCTCTATTGACAATTAAAGAAATTTTCACAGGCAACCATCACCACAATTTTTGTGAGAGTTGCCAAAAATAAATGCCCTACATGTATTTTTTGTGTGGTATAAACCCCACTGTGAGAAGCACTAAAATTGGATTCATTAGTAGCACCTAATATAGACAATCCTGTCCCATTTTCTCCTAATAATGTTTCCTCTACAGCCAGTATAAAACAGCCACGGCAATGTTACCAGAGAACCCCTCAGTTACAATGTACAAATCTAGAGCTTTCTCCTGTCACTTGCCTGAGAGCCTCCGCTAGATACATCTAGGGCTTCTCAGTGATGCTGTGCACTTTACTGAAGGTTCTCAGTGATATTAGGCACATTAAAAATAACAAGAACTCAGGATTTTATGAAATTGTTACTAATATAAACCAGAGAAACTAAATTATTCAGGGATTGCTCCTTGCCTGCTAAACACAGGTTTATAGATTTGGAGTCAATCCTGGGCTTTGGACAGTGTTAAAGAAAATGAGGAATAAGAAATCTAAGGAACTGAGCCCACTATGACCCAAATGTATGCCTATCATCTGGTGTATAGTTTAATTTACTGTAAAGAATTATAAAATGCCCAAATGTTAGGTCCATCATAACCTTTGAGAGAGAAATAAAATGCTTCAGGCTAAGATAATTGGTGCAATTACCACATGACTCAGACAGGACTCACATAACCTCTTAAGCATAGAACATATCATGACACATGCACCTCCTTCCAGGTGACAAATGCCAGGCACGTGCATGGGAAGGTCCTCCCTGACATGCTACATTTGGCTCTCAACTCGAGTCTTCAGCTAGAAAAAGTAGTAACTCTAAAAAGTTCTCCATGCCCCAACCTTAAATTCCACGCTGCATTTCTCATTGTCAAAAATGTCAGTATTAATTAGAACACCAACTTACACCACGCACAAGAATAAACTCAAAATGGATAAGTCACAAAACCATAAAAATTCTACAAGAAAACAAAGGCAGTAAAATCTCAGACATCTTGTGTAGCAATATTTTTGCTGATACATCTCTTAGGACAAGGGAAACAAAGGGAAAAATAAACAAATGGAACTACATCAAACAAAAAAGCTTCTGCACAGCAAAATAAATCACAAAAATAAAGAGGAAACTCACTGTATGGGAGAACATATTCACCAATAATACATTTGATAAGGGGTAAATTTCCAAAATATATAAAAAACTTATACAATTCAACAAAAGGAAGACAGACAATCTAATTAAAACATGGGCAAAACATAGACACTTCTCCAAAGAGGACATACAAATGGCCAACAAACATATAAAAGAATGCTCAATATCAATAATCATCAGAGAAATGCAAATTAAAAATACAATGAGGTATCATCTCACCCCAGCCAGAATGGCTGCCACCAATCAATCAATAAATGCCCTAGCCGGTTTGGCTCAGCGGTTAGAGCGTCGGCCTGCAGTCCTGAGAGACCCGGGTTCGGTTCCCGCTGGGGGCATGTGCCTCGGTTGCAGTTTGTCCCCGGCCCTGGTCCGTTGTGCGGGTGGCAGCCACTCGATGTGTCCCTTTCTCATCGATGTTTCTCTCTCTCTCTCTGTTCCTCTCTCCCCCCCCCCCACTCTACCTTAACAAAAAATGGAAAAATGTCCTCGGGTGAGGATAAAAATAAATAAATAAATAAAATAAATCAATAAACAACAAGTGCTGGTGAAGATGTGGAGAAAAGAGAACCCTAATATACTGCTGGTGGGAATGCAGACTGGAACAGCCTTTGTGGAAAACAGTATAGAGTTACCTCCAAAAATTAAAAATGGAACTGCTGTTTGACCCAGTGATCCCACTTCTGGGAATATATCCAAAGAATCCCAAAACACTAATCAGAAAGAATATATGCACCCCTATGAATATAGAAGTACTATTTACAAGAGACAAGATCTGGAAACAGCCCAAGTGCCCATCAGTAGATGAGTGGATAAAAAAAGCTGTGGTACATTTACACAATGGAATACTATGTGCCTGAAACAAAGGATCTCTTACCCTTTAGGACAGCATAGGTGGACCTAGAGATTATTATGCTAAGAGAAATAAACCAGTCAGAGAAGGACAAATACCACATATGTAGAATCTAATGAACAAAATAAATTGGTAAACAAAAGAGGACCAGAAGCATGGAAACCTGGAACAGACTGACAGATTTCACAGGGGAGGTGGATGAGGGGGACTGGAAGAGATTAGCCAAAGAATATATATGCATATAAGCATAACCCATGGACACAGACAACAATGTGGTGAAGGCAAGATAGAGGGGAACATAAGGGAGAGAAATGGGGGACATCTGTAACAGTGTCAACAACTTAAAAATAATAATTAATAATAATAATAAAGTGAATGACAGTGAAAAAAAAGTTAGTATTAGCCTGGCAAACGCTATTCATAGACAACTATTCAGCACTGTACATTTATAACACCAACATCCAGAACAGATCCATGAATAGCACTTTAAGAATTTAGATGATCCCAACTTTTAGTCCACTACTTATAAGTATTAAATTTATAGGATTCATCAGACTTTAACACAAGATTAGATAACAGAACATTTAGCAAATCTAGAAATTATTTCTTCATAAATTTATGTTTCCTCCTTCAATTTAATTTTTTCGAAAACAATTCTGCCTTATTTAGGAAATGAAACTATACATGAAAATATCTTAATTCTTGGTCATATATAGACACCAAGATACAATGAATCTTCTAATTCATCAATGATTTTAAAATTCAATTCAAGGGTCACAGGAACTTGAACCATTACCCAGTAGAAACTATTACTATAGTAAGAACATATAACATAAAATCAGCACTACATACCCATGTACATTAAAAAATACAACTAAAGCCCTGGCCGGTTTGGCTCAGCGGTTAGAGCGTCCGCCTGCGGTCCGAAGAGGCCCGGGTTCAGTTCCCGCTAAGGGCATGTACCTCGGTTGTAGTTGGTCCCCGGCCCTGGTTGGTCGTGCGGGTGGCAGCCACTCGATGTGTCCCTTTCACATCGATGTTTCCCTCTCTCTCTCTTCCTCTCTCTCCCTCCCACTCTGTCTGTACAAAAAATGGAAAAATGTCCTCGGATGAGGATTAAAAAAAAAAAAAAAAATACAACTAAGCATGATTTGCAATTTGTGTTTTTCTATTATTTGCTATTTATTGGAATCCAACTATATGGAAAATAATTACCAAGTACCTACAAAATCTTAACACTGAAGTAGAATAGGAGGGACTGAGCTTTAAAAAATATTTTGGATGGCAGGAAGCTTTTATTTGAAAAGTCTATCCATGA